CCGAACATAGTGGTTGCTATAGGTCCGTCCGAGGTGACGTGGGTCGTGATGTAATTGCTACTTCATCGATCCTGGACTGACCGTCGAGGATGACCTGACCTACTAGTCTCTCTCCGTCACTCAGGGCAGAATGTTCCCGCCTGTAGCTTTCCAAGATGGCCGACACCTGGCGTTGCCTTATAATAATGGAAATGCTATGTTTGCCCTATCTCCTCATCTACTGAGCATACGACGTCTCGTATGGCATCATTATGCTGTTGGCATTATAGGCTCTCACGAGATGCCAAACAAGCTAGCCACTTGTTCAGTACTGTCCAAGACACGCACACTCTCCACAAGAACAGTGTGTCCTCCCAACAATACCTTGGGAGGTATTGGGATTCAATACCTCCCAAGGTACTGAATTGGCTGTTGATTTCTGTGTCAGGTCAGCTTACAGACAGCTGCTAACAACTGACTCACATCTTACACTATGTTAGCCCCCCCCCATACATATACTTGCAAGTGTATATATTTGCTCATTACTGGCTATCGAATTCCGCATTCCCTCAGGGTTCTTTGGTTACAGACATGCAATATTGCCTGTATCTTATGTTTAATAACAGACAAGTGGCGTGCTCCAGGCCCCGAGTTACACCGACACGCAGAGCCGAACTGGCCGCTGAAACGACACTTATGCTATTCAGACGTCAAACATGACCTCTCTCACTCTCTTTCATCACAACTGAAACAGGAAACTTCCACAGTCGGCTCCATGTTGTAGGTGGAGGTGGTGGGCGGAGACACCACCTCCACCCTTACTGCAACACTCTGATAAATGACGAAATTTTGAGGAGAATTTAAAACTGTACTTCCCAACAAGCTGTAAAAAAACAGTGTCAGAGACTCCATGTAAGACAACCAGTGTAAGTGTACCCATGTAAGACAGCCAGTGTAAGTGTACCCGTGTAAGACAGCCAGTGTAAGTGTACCCATGTAAGACAGCCAGTGCAAGTGTACCCATGTAAGAGACAACCAGTGCAAGTGTACCCATGTAAGACAGCCAGTGCAAGTGTACCCATGTAAGACAGCCAGTGCAAGTGTACCCATGTAAGACAACCAGTGCAAGTGTACCCATGTGAGACAGCCAGTGCAAGTGTACCCATGTAAGACAGCCAGTGCAAGTGTACCCATGTAAGACAACCAGTGCAAGTGTACCCATGTAAGACAACCAGTGCAAGTGTACCCATGTAAGACAGCCAGTGCAAGTGTACCCATGTAAGACAACCAGTGCAAGTGTACCCATGTAAGACAGCCAGTGCAAGTGTACCCATGTAAGACAGCCAGTGCAAGTGTACCCATGTAAGACAGCCAGTGCAAGTGTACCCATGTAAGACAACCAGTGCAAGTGTACCCATGTAAGACAGCCAGTGCAAGTGTACCCATGTAAGACAACCAGTGCAAGTGTACCCATGTAAGACAACCAGTGCAAGTGTACCCATGTAAGACAGCCAGTGTAAGTGTACCCATGTAAGACAACCAGTGCAAGTGTACCCATGTAAGACAGCCAGTGCAAGTGTACCCATGTAAGACAGCCAGTGCAAGTGTACCCATGTAAGACAGCCAGTGCAAGTGTACCCATGTAAGACAACCAGTGCAAGTGTACCCATGTAAGACAACCAGTGCAAGTGTACCCATGTAAGACAGCCAGTGCAAGTGTACCATGTAAGACAGCCAGTGCAAGTGTACCCATGTAAGACACAGCCAGTGCAAGTGTACCCATGTAAGACAACCAGTGCAAGTGTACCCATGTAAGACAGCCAGTGCAAGTGTACCCATGTAAGACAGCCAGTGCAAGTGTACCCATGTAAGGCAGCCAGTGCAAGTGTACCCATGTAAGACAACCAGTGCAAGTGTACCCATGTAAGACAGCCAGTGCAAGTGTACCCATGTAAGACAACCAGTGCAAGTGTACCCATGTAAGACAGCCAGTGCAAGTGTACCCATGTAAGACAGCCAGTGCAAGTGTACCCATGTAAGACAGCCAGTGCAAGTGTACCCATGTAAGACAGCCAGTGCAAGTGTACCCATGTAAGACAACCAGTGCAAGTGTACCCATGTAAGACAGCCAGTGCAAGTGTACCCATGTAAGACAACCAGTGCAAGTGTACCCATGTAAGACAACCAGTGCAAGTGTACCCATGTAAGACAGCCAGTGCAAGTGTACCCATGTAAGACAACCAGTGCAAGTGTACCCATGTGAGACAACCAGTGCAAGTGTACCCATGTAAGACAGCCAGTGCAAGTGTACCCATGTAAGACAACCAGTGCAAGTGTACCCATGTAAGACAACCAGTGCAAGTGTACCCATGTAAGACAGCCAGTGCAAGTGTACCCATGTAAGACAACCAGTGCAAGTGTACCCATGTAAGACAACCAGTGCAAGTGTACCCATGTAAGACAGCCAGTGCAAGTGTACCCATGTAAGACAACCAGTGCAAGTGTACCCATGTAAGACAACCAGTGCAAGTGTACCCATGTAAGACAGCCAGTGAAAGTGTACCCATGTAAGACAACCAGTGCAAGTGTACCCATGTAAGACAGCCAGTGCAAGTGTAAGACAGCCACCCATGTAAGACAACCAGTGCAAGTGTACCCATGTAAGACAACCAATGCAAGTGTACCCATGTAAGACAACCAGTGTAAGTGTATCCATATAAGACAGCCAGTGTAAGTGTACCCATGTAAGACAGCCAGTGTAAGTGTATCCATATAAGACAGCCAGTGTAAGTGTACCCATGTAAGACAGCCAGTGTATGTGTACCCATGTAAGACAGCCAGTGTATGTGTACCCATGTAAGACAGCCAGTGTAAGTGTACCCATGTAAGACAGCCAATGTAAGTGTACCTGGGTCAGTCTCGGGTTCCTCAACTTGGTCCCGCCTCTCAGCTGTCAATCAACTGGTGTACAGATCCCTGAATCTATGAAATCTACATTTGAAACTGTGTATGGAGTCAGCCTCCACCACACCACTGTCTAATGCATTCCATTTGTTAACTACTCTGACACTGAAAAATATCTTTCTAATGTCTCTGTGGCTGATTTGAGTAATATGTTTCCACCTGTGTCCTCTCGTGTTCCTCCCATGTAAGATAGCTGGTCACTCGTCAATTCCTGTAAGAAATTTGAAAGTGGTGATTATGTCTTCCTTGATTTTTCTGTCTTCCAGAGACGTGAGATTTAATTCGCGTTTCCTTACCTCGTACCTTCCAGTTCTGGAACTAGTCTGATGTCATTCCTCTGAATCTTTGCTGACTTTGTTTTGTGTTTAACTAGATATGAACTCCAAGCAGGAACTGCATACTCTAGGATTGGTCTGGCATTTGAGGTAACAAGGTTCTGAATGATTCATTATTCAAGTTTTTTTTTCAGTCTTTCTCTCTTCCTGATTCTTGAAGGATTTCACCTACCAGACGACAACTTGTGTTCGGCTTCCTGCCCCCTTCATCTGTTTTAATTATTTTACACTTGTGTTACACTCTAGTGCCCACTTGCTGAATCATTCCTTTAATTTGTGCAGGTCATCTTGTAGTCGCCTTCTATGAACATCTGTCTTTATTCTTCTCATAATTTTTGCATCATCAGCAAACATTGAGATGAATGACCCTCGGGAAGATCGTTTACATATATCAGAAACATGATAGGTCCAAGTACAGAGCCTTGTGAGACTCCGCTGGTGACATCTCGCCACTCTTGAGTTTTTCCCCTCACAGAAACTCGCTGTTTTCTGTTGATTAGATTCTCCTTATCCACTGGAGCACCTTACCTCTTATTCCTGCCTGTCTCTTCAACTTCTGTACAAGCCTCGTATGGGGTACGGTGTCAAAGCCGTTCTGACAAAGAAAATGCAGTCTACCCACCCTACTCTCTCTTGCCTAATTTTTGTTGCCTGGCCATAGAATTCTATCCTGCGAGACACGACATGCTATCCCTGAGCCCATGCTGGTGGTGTGTGTAACAAAGCGGCTTCTCGCCATGTAATCCACGACACTTTTCCTCGCATCTTCTCCCTCACCTTGTATGGTACACAAGTCAGGGAAACTGACCATTAGTTCAGTGCCTCTCACCTATCACCCTTGTCCACTGGGCCTGCACTAGCCGTCTTCCAGCCCTCCGGGGGTAGGTCTCCTGTTTCCAGCGAATGAACGAGAACCCGCGTATACAGTATTGAGTATTGTTATAGAGTATAGAATCTCCTTGTTAATGAAAGACAATCTCACACCTTGTCATTTTCCCTGTATATATTCTCCCCTTTTCTCAGTTTCATCCCCCGTGTAAAAGAGCCCGTGTAAGAGAACCCGTGTAAGGAAATCCATGTAAAAGAACCCGTGTAAGAGAACCCGTGTAAGAGAACCCGTGTTAAAGAACCCGTGTAAAAGAACCCGTGTAAGAGAACCCGTGTAAGAGAACCCGCGTAAAAGAACCCGTGTAAGAGAACCCGTGTAAGAGAACCCGTGTAAAAGAACCCGTGTAAGAGAACTCGTGTAAGAGAACCCATGTAAGAGAACCCGTGTAATAAAGCCCATTTTTGTAGGTTTGGATACAATTGATCTTGGGATTCGAACATTACTGGGGGAGAAGCGAACCTGGGATTCGAACCCAGGTTCGAATCCCAGACTGCTCCTGAGAATTTCCGTGGAGTTAAGGTTTTTTTTTGGTGTTGTTACATAAGTAATTCCACGATGAAAACCCAACTTGCGAAAAATACTTTTTAATTTAATTTTATAATTCGATTTTCAACAAAATCATTTTTAATTTTTCTGAAAGTTAAGACAAATGTGGCCAAGACAGGGGAAGATTCGAACAGGTGGCGTCGATTGATCGTTCCCACTTTAGCCAAGACAACACAATGACATCATTGAGACTTGTATTAACTATCATTTAAAACAAATTGAAACCATATTTAACAATACAATATACATATAAACAATATATTTACCAAACTGCAACTCTGCACCAGTCCTTCAATAGCCAAGCTGATTGAATCATCAGGCACGGCTAATGACTTAATTACCTCCACCACCAACGACCCCTACAGCAGTACCAACTGTCTCAAGACCCATAGACATGCTACTGTCATTACAACGAGACATGACAAACGTCAGCCAGAAAAGTATTCGGTATTCATTCTCTGGTAAACTAGAGAAATGGAAAAAGGAATCTGATAAACAATAAGTGAGATCACGTAGCGAAGCAGCCCGTTTTCTTAATTTACTACTCCGTAAAAAAAAATTAAACCATTTAACCTAACCAGAAGCATACGAACCTAAACCACCAACTATAACATATGGACACATGGGGAAACACAGATATTTCAGAGCCATTGCTTCATCTATAAAGCCAACAAACTTTGTAAAATCTCTTTATGTATGTACCTTTGCCTAAATAAAAATTATTATTATTATTATTATTTAATAGGCTGCATCTGTAAACATTAGCCACAATAACAAAACACGGGACCTGTTATATATTTCCCGAAGATCGTACAGGACGTTGAAACCTAAATGTACCAAGAAGAGAATTATGGGGTTTGTTGTGTTTACCTCTGATGTACGTGCACATATGGGCAGGTCACGTGATAATATGAGACAATCATTTTCAGGCAATGATGTGACTTGAACCAGCGTTCTGGTGATTCCCAGACACCTACCTTAACCCCCCACGGCGACGATAGAACCCTGGCTGGAAAACCCAAATGTGGGGATTTTGACATTCTAGCGAGTGTTGTATGTGTCACACGCTCTAAACAACAGCTTCAAGTGTTACATGTGGCAGACTAAACAACAGCTTCAAGTGTTACATGTGCCAGACTAAACAACAGCTTCAAGTGTTACATGTGCCAGACTAAACAACAGCTTCAAGTGTTACATGTGCCAGACTAAACAACAGCTTCAAGTGTTACATGTGGCAGACTAAACAACAGCTTCGAGTGTTACATGTGCCAGACTAAACAACAGCTTCAAGTGTTACATGTGCCAGACTAAACAACAGCTTCAAGTGTTACATGTGCCAGACTAAACACAGCTTCAAGTGTTACATGTGGCAGACTAAACAACAGCTTCGAGTGTTACATGTGCCAGACTAAACAACAGCTTCAAGTGTTACATGTTCAGCTTCGAGTGTTACATGTGCCAGACTAAACAACAGCTTCAAGTGTTACATGTGGCAGACTAAACAGCTTTAATAGTTATTTTCTGTTTAAAAAAAAAGCAAATTCTAATTGATAATTAAGTGCACTGGACGTGACTGCAATATTACTAAACATTCTTATCCAAGAAATGTTGAATAAATGCAAAATTGTGCAGTGTATCTAAACATTTCTGGAGTGAATGTTGTAGTTTAGATGAATTCTAAATCATTTAATCCGTAGACTGTTGTTGCCTAAACAGTAGTAGAACTGAAGTAGACGGTAGATATCTAACTTCTATTTAAAAATTGTAATTGTCTATATGTTTCTATAAACATTGAATGTAATTGTGTTGTTGGCCAAAGCACTACAAGTAAACACTGTGTTTATAATGTTGATGGTAGCGATGTTTTGATCTACACACAGACACAGACACCCACGCACACACCACACACACACGCACACACACCACAAATGCATACTCCCCCCTACACACACCCACCCACACACACACACACACACACACACTCACACAAGGGCTTCGCGGCTAAGTGGACAGCGCTCTGGGATCGTAGTCCTAAGGGGCCGGGTTCGATCCCCAGCAGAGGCAGAAACAAATGGACAGAGTTTCTTTCACCCAGGTGCTCTTGTCCACCTAGCAGTAAATAGGTACCTGAGAGTTAGACAGCTGCTACGGGCTGCTTCCTGGGGATGTGTGTGTGTGTGTGTGTGTGTGTGTGTGTGTGTGTGTGTGTGTGTTAGAGAAACTTATGTAGTAGCTATAATATAGGAAAAATAAATTGGTTAGAAAGGCCGGGTTCAAGAGCTAATTGCTCGATTCTGCAGATACAAATAGTAAATATAAAAAGTAAATACCTAAACACACACACACATCCATATTATTATATATATATATATATATATATATATATATATATATATATATATATATATATATATATATATATATATATATTTTTTTTTTTTTTTCATTTTATACCCGCATTTTGGGTGAGGTGATATGTTACAACAGTTTTGGATGAGGTGTACAAAACTTTCAACACAGGACAGAACACGAAACAATGGGTATTGAACGTAAGAATGGAAGTAACTGCAGAGGGCCTATTGGCCAATATTTCTTGATGCTAGCAGTTACTTCCATTCTTACGTTCAATACCCATTGTTTCGTGTTCTGTCCTGTGTTGAAAGTTTTGTACACCTCATCCAAAACTTTTGTAACATATCACCTCACCCAAAATGCGGGTATAAAATGAAAAATGAAAGCTGTTTAAATATATATATATATATATATATATATATATATATATATATATATATATATATACATATATATATATATATATATATATATATATACATATTTATATATATATATATATATATATATATAATATATATATATATATATATATATATATATATATATACCATATATATATATATATATATACATATATATATATATATATATATACATATATATATATATATATATACATATATATATATATATATATATATATATATATATATATATATATATATATATATATATATAAAATTGTATCATATCAGTTAAAATAGATCGCCGGAAACATCTTATCACAGCGTAACTAAATATAATCACATTGTTTATAAAAAATTAAAATGATTGGCTAAAATTACTGCTCAATCAAGTCATTGCTCATATGATATTATTCATTCTAAACAATGTTAATCACACCACTATAAAAATCCTACTCACACACCACTGTGAAAATAACACTCACACACCACTGTGATATTAACAGTGATACCATACTCAGCCAAGGCATAAGACGGGCTAAAATGCATATACCATCAGAGGAAATTTGTGGAGTTCTAATTTAACTCCGATGTTTAGGAAACGCATATTGGTAGATCTGGACATCTTTAGTGATTCAGAGCACCGATGGTAGTGACATCCTTCACAACTCTTATACTAACTCACAAACAACAGTGACACCCTTCAGAACACTAACACTAACACACAACAGTGACATTCTCCTCGCAACTTGAGTGACGTAGAGTGACGTATGCAGCACTTGTACTTATGTTCTACATGTTGCACACTTAAATAAGAGTACAAAATAATTGTCCATTGTCTAGCACCTTTATATATTTACATGGAAATGGTGTGTGTGCGTGTGTGTGTTTGTGTGTACGTTCACTAATTATTGTGTTGTTCATGTAGAATTGCCTTGACGTACTCTTGGTACAGCGTCATATGTGTTATTGCACTCTGTGTGTTCCGTGGCACTATTTTATCGTAACTTCACTCCTACACAGCTGGCTATTTACTGTGGCTTGTCACAGCCACAGCTGGCCATGTACTGTGGCTTGTCACAGCCACAGCTGGCCATGTACTGTGGCTTGTCACAGCCACAGCTGGCCATGTACTGTGGCTTGTCACAGCCACAGCTGGTCATGTACTGTGGCTTGTCACAGCCACAGCTGGCCATGTACTGTGGCTTGTCACAGCCACAGCTGGCCATGTACTGTGGCTTGTCACAGCCACAGCTGGTCATGTACTGTGTCTTGTCACAGCCACAGCTGGCCATGTACTGTGGCTTGTCACAGCCACAGCTGGTCATGTACTGTGGCTTGTCACAGCCACAGCTGGCCATGTACTGTGGCTTGTCACAGCCACAGCTGGTCATGTACTGTGTCTTGTCACAGCCACAGCTGGTCATGTACTGTGTCTTGTCACAGCCACAGCTGGTCATGTACTGTGGCTTGTCACAGCCACAGCTGGCCATGTACTGTGGCTTGTCACAGCCACAGCTGGCCATGTACTGTGGCTTGTCACAGCCACAGCTGGCCATGTACTGTGGCTTGTCACAGCCACAGCTGGCCATGTACTGTGGCTTGTCACAGCCACAGCTGGCCATGTACTGTGGCTTGTCACAGCCACAGCTGGTCATGTACTGTGTCTTGTCACAGCCACAGCTGGTCATGTACTGTGGCTTGTCACAGCCACAGCTGGCCATGTACTGTGGCTTGTCACAGCCACAGCTGGCCATGTACTGTGGCTTGTCACAGCCACAGCTGGCCATGTACTGTGGCTTGTCACAGCCACAGCTGGTCATGTACTGTGTCTTGTCACAGCCACAGCTGGCCATGTACTGTGGCTTGTCACAGCCACAGCTGGCCATGTACTGTGGCTTGTCACAGCCACAGCTGGCCATGTACTGTGGCTTGTCACAGCCACAGCTGGCCATGTACTGTGGCTTGTCACAGCCACAGCTGGCCATGTACTGTGGCTTGTCACAGCCACAGCTGGCCATGTACTGTGGCTTGTCACAGCCACAGCTGGCCATGTACTGTGGCTTGTCACAGCCACAGCTGGTCATGTACTGTGTCTTGTCACAGCCACAGCTGGCCATGTACTGTGGCTTGTCACAGCCACAGCTGGCCATGTACTGTGGCTTGTCACAGCCACAGCTGGCCATGTACTGTGGCTTGTCACAGCCACAGCTGGCCATGTACTGTGGCTTGTCACAGCCACAGCTGGCCATGTACTGTGGCTTGTCACAGCCACAGCTGGCCATGTACTGTGGGCTTGTCACAGCCACAGCTGGCCATGTACTGTGGGCTTGTCACAGCCACAGCTGGCCATGTACTGTGGCTTGTCACAGCCACAGCTGGCCATGTACTGTGGCTTGTCACAGCCACAGCTGGCCATGTACTGTGGGCTTGTCACAGCCACAGCTGGCCATGTACTGTGGCTTGTCACAGCCACAGCTGGCCATGTACTGTGGCTTGTCACAGCCACAGCTGGCCATGTACTGTGGCTTGTCACAGCCACAGCGGGCCCTGTACTGTGGGCTTGTCACAGCCACAGCTGGCCATGTACTGTGGGCTTGTCACAGCCACAGCTGGCCATGTACTGTGGGCTTGTCACAGCCACAGCTGACCATGTACTGTGGGCTTGTCACAGCCACAGCTGGCCATGTACTGTGGGCTTGTCACAGCCACAGCTGGCCATGTACTGTGGCTTGTCACAGCCACAGCTGGCCATGTACTGTGGCTTGTCACAGCCACAGCTGGCCATGTACTGTGGCTTGTCACAGCCACAGCTGGCCATGTACTGTGTCTTGTCACAGCCACAGCTGGTCATGTACTGTGGGCTTGTCACAGCCACAGCTGGCCATGTACTGTGGCTTGTCACAGCCACAGCTGGCCATGTACTGTGGCTTGTCACAGCCACAGCTGGCCATGTACTGTGGCTTGTCACAGCCACAGCTGGCCATGTACTGTGGCTTGTCACAGCCACAGCTGGCCATGTACTGTGGGCTTGTCACAGCCACAGCTGGTCATGTACTGTGGGCTTGTCACAGCCACAGCTGGCCATGTACTGTGGGCTTGTCACAGCCACAGCTGGCCATGTACTGTGGCTTGTCACAGCCACAGCTGGCCATGTACTGTGGCTTGTCACAGCCACAGCTGGCCATGTACTGTGGCTTGTCACAGCCACAGCTGGTCATGTACTGTGTCTTGTCACAGCCACAGCTGGCCATGTACTGTGGGCTTGTCACAGCCACAGCTGGCCATGTACTGTGGGCTTGTCACAGCCACAGCTGGCCATGTACTGTGGGCTTGTCACAGCCACAGCTGGCCATGTACTGTGGGCTTGTCACAGCCACAGCTGACCATGTACTGTGGGCTTGTCACAGCCACAGCTGGCCATGTACTGTGGGCTTGTCACAGCCACAGCTGACCATGTACTGTGGGCTTGTCACAGCCACAGCTGGCCATGTACTGTGGGCTTGTCACAGCCACAGCTGGCCACGCAAACAACAAAACAAAGATAATATCCAACATTTCCATAGCATCACCACCGATGCCAATTCAATAAACAAAACAAGAGGATTACTGCAACTCTGGTGAATTGTTTACACACAGCTCAACAGTTGCTCCATCAGCACTAACAAACATGTAATGTCATTTACAACCCAACCACTAAATATGTTGTCCACCGGTTCCAACACTCTCATATATGATCCAACAACCACACCATGGTCACCTCCACCACACCAACCATGGTCACCTCCACCACACCAACCATGGTCACCACCACCACACCATGGTCACTACCACCACACCAACCATGGTCACCACCACACCAACCATGGTCACCACCACCACACCATGGTCACTACCACCACACCAACCATGGTCACCTCCACCACACCAACCATGGTCACTACCACCACACCAACCATGGTCACTACCACCACACCAACCATGGTCACCACCACCACACCAACCATGGTCACCACCACCACACCAACCATGGTCACTACCACCACACCAACCATGGTCACCACCACCACACCAACCATGGTCATCACCACCACACCAACCATGGTCACCACCACCACACCAACCATGGTCACCTCCACCACACCAACCATGGTCACTACCACCACACAACCATGGTCACCACCACCACACCAACCATGGTCACCTCCACCACACCAACCATGGTCACCTCCACCACACCAACCATGGTCACTACCACCACACCAACCACCATCACTACCACCACACCAACCACCATCACTACCACCACACCAACCACCATCACTACCACCACACCAACCACCATCACTACCACCACACCAACCATGGTCACTTCCACCACACCAACCATGGTCACTACCACCACAACCACCACACCAACCATGGTCACCTCCACCACACCAACTATGGTCACCACCACCACACCAACCATGGTCACCACCACCACACCAACCATGGTCACTACCACCACACCAACCATGGTCACCACCACCACACCAACCATGGTCACCTCCACCACACCAACCATGGTCACCTCCACCACACCAACCATGGTCACTACCACCACACCAACCATGGTCACCACCACCACACCAACCATGGTCACCTCCACCACACCAACCATGGTCACCTCCACCACACCAACCATGGTCACCACCACCACACCAACCATGGTCACCTCCACCACACCAACCATGGTCACCTCCACCACACCAACCATGGTCACTACCACCACACCAACCATGGTCACCACCACCACACCAACCATGGTCACCACCACCACACCAACCATGGTCACCACCACCACACCAACCATGGTCACCTCCACCACACCAACCATGGTCACTACCACCACACCAACCATGGTCACTACCACCACACCAACCATGGTCACCTCCACCACACCAACCATGGTCACCTCCACCACACCAACCATGGTCACCTCCACCACACCTCCCAACCATGGTCACCACCACCACACCAACCATGGTCACCACCACCACACCAACCATGGTCACTACCACCACACCAACCATGGTCACGTCCACCACACCAACCATGGTCACCACCACCACACCAACCATGGTCATCTCCACCGCACCAACCATGGTCACCACCACACCAACCATGGTCACCACCACCACACCAACCATGGTCATCTCCACCACACCAACCATGGTCACCACCACCACACCAACCATGGTCACCTCCACCACACCAACCATGGTCACCTCCACCGCACCAACCATGGTCATCTCCACCACACCAACCATGGTCACCTCCACCACACCAACCATGGTCACTACCACCACACCAACCATGGTCACCTCCACCACACCAACCATGGTCACCTCCACCACACCAACCATGGTCATCTCCACCACACCAACCATGGTCACCACCACCACACCAACCATGGTCACCTCCACCACACCAACCATGGTCACCTCCACCACACCAACCATGGTCACTACCACCACACCAACCATGGTCACTACCACCACACCAACCATGGTCACCTCCACCACACCAACCATGGTCACCTCCACCACACCAACCATGGTCACCTCCACCACACCAACCATGGTCACCTCCACCACACCAACCATGGTCACCACCACCACACCAACCATGGTCACCACCACCACACCAACCATGGTCACCTCCACCACACCAACCATGGTCACCTCCACCACACCAACCATGGTCACCACCACCACACCAACCATGGTCACCTCCACCGCACCAACCATGGTCACCACCACCACACCAACCATGGTCACCACCACCACACCAACCATGGTCATCTCCACCGCACCAACCATGGTCACCACCACCACACCAACCATGGTCATCTCCACCGCACCAACCATGGTCACCTCCACCGCACCAACCATGGTCACCTCCACCGCACCAACCATGGTCACCTCCACCACACCAACCATGGTCATCTCCACCACACCAACCATGGTCACCTCCACCACACCAACCATGGTCACCTCCACCACACCAACCATGGTCACCTCCACCACACCAACCATGGTCACCTCCACCGCACCAACCATGGTCACCACCACCACACCAACCATGGTCACCAACCACCACCACACCAACCATGGTCACCTCCACCACACCAACCATGGTCACCTCCACCACACCAACCATGGTCACCTCCACCACACCAACCATGGTCACCACCACCACACCAACCATGGTCACCTCCACCACACCAACCATGGTCACCTCCACCACACCAACCATGGTCACCTCCACCACACCAACCATGGTCACCTCCACCACACCAACCATGGTCACCTCCACCACACCAACCATGGTCACCTCCACCACACCAACCATATTCACCTCCACCACACCAACCAGGTTCACCACCACCACCACACCAACCATGGTCACCTCCACCACACCACCACCACCACCAGGCCTCTACCACACCAACCATGGTCACCACCACCACACCAACCCTGGTCACCTCCACCACACCACCACCACCACCAGGCCTCCACCACACCAAACCGTCAAGCACACCTCCTTCAGGATGGTGTGGCAGGGCTCGGGACCTTGGAGAAGGGTGCTGAGAGGGGTCGAGGAAGAGGACGCAGCAAGTCCAGCGGTGGACGAGGCAGGTAAGACCATGCTTCCCACTCCTCTCCTGGGCGCTGCTGGTCAGCTGCACCAGGCCAGTCTGGGCTCCAAGCAGTGGCAGAATTAACAAGGAGTAGGGAAGTTGTCACAGAGAACTTACACCTTTGTCCTGCGGGAAACGCTGCTGTGTGCCAGCCTTGTTCACATGTATGATGCGAGGATCCACCAATTAGGCCCAGACGCTGGAGTCACTCTCGAAGTTATGATGCTGGGATTAGATTTGATTATTAGTCAGGTCCCAACAAGTCTCGCACATTGTTTACAGCGAATAATCTATCATTGTTTTCGCAATTTTGCATTATTTTTGCACATTCACAAATGTATTGGAAGGATGTCACATACTTCGAGTTTCGCTTTGGTTGTGTAGTTGAAAAGTAAGTAGATCTGACGCTGCAACTGTATGTAGAACTAATAAGGTGAGTTTTAACAGCGAGCCAAAGTTTGAGACAGTCCATGGAGTAAAGAGTCTGGCCAATATAGAGAGACATGCACCGAGGAATGGTTCTTGCCGTGATGGCCAGCGAGAAGAGGTAAGATGAGGTGTTGAGGGATATGCTGTATGATGGTAGCCGTCGCCCCCACACGGCGCCAACTGACGGGTCAGCACTGGTAGAGGCGCGGGGCTCCTCGCCTGGTAAGCTCTGTGACGGCGTGTGTTGTCAATACAGGCACTTCAACCCCACTTGTCTCAAAGTGTGTTTTATTTAAAGTTAAGGAATTATTCTCGATCAGAACGGCGATATATGCATATATTTACACCTTAAGACTCAAGTCATTTAACCATTGTGACAATAGCCGTTTGAGTCACATGGATGTTATATTGACATTGTTTACTCGTACACTTGAGGCAATCATTACTCCCTGAGGATACCACAAGCCACGCTGCCCCATCACTGTTCCTCCCTTCATCTCCCCAGGAACCCCGAAGATGCAGACGAAGGAGCACGAGCGCTCAAAGGCAAGATGGTTAATAGGTTTGTTGCGACGGAGCTGCGGCAGAAGAGGAAGCTAATGGGGCACCTTGGGGCCCCGGGGAAGGAGGAGGTGTACTGCGACAAGGACAGGGCTGCCGCCGTGGCCATGGGCGACCAGGACATAAAGACCTCCCTCAAGGTACATCCTGCTTCTCTCCTCCGCACGCCATTTTCTATAATGTAACACCGTTATTTGTCTTCTCTTACGTGTCTTGATATATTTGTATAAATTTGTGTTGTCATATGTATCTTGATGTTAAGAATGGTCTTTAATATAATTCTTCCTTGTTAATGATAAATATCACACCAGCAGAAAAAAGCATTAAAGTGTCCTCGTCTTAAGCCCTAAAGATGTTCGAATGATTTATCAAGTGCACATGAAGCTCACCAGCACGTAACGTTTCCTTATCACTTCTACTCTGCAGCACCCAGTATTTGTGGGGTTATAATACTCGGTAAGGTTCCGGTCTCTTCTAAATAATGAGACATTTGTAATCTTTGTTTACCTTGTTGACGGGACGTGTTGGTAGCGAGGCAGCGGCCGTGTTCTTGTGTCGTGTTGTGCTTCACTACCTGTGTCTGCTACCTCCCGCACACCTCCCAACACCTGCAACACCCACCGGTGTTGGACCTTACATCTAACTACCAAACTACCACAAAAACTAGTGTTGGCAGTTAATTAACTTGTGTAACAAAAAAAAAGTTTGTTTGGAATTGGAATGTTCTAACATTTCTATAAGATTCTCTGTATTCCAATTCCAAGAGCAAGCTATAATTGTATATATAAATTCATACATACATAACACCGCCCACGCTGATAAAGCCTTAGGTATCGGGATTTTGAGCACCGTAGATAGTTTGTTTGGTCTTGGTCAAAATATCAAACTACTATTGCTCAAAAGGTGAGCAACTATTGGATGTATTTACTACGAATCTCAATCTAACAAAATAACAAAGCAACTGATAACCAATCTTAATCGAGATTATGTAAGTTAAAAGTGAAGTGTACGTTCCGTAGAGTGTATTTTAATTTAGTTTATTGTTAGCCATTATTTCGAGGAATCAAACCATTGTTGTGTGTGATGAGCAGTGTGGCCTCTGTGAGGGGACTCTCCCAGGGAACGGACTGCTGCCTTGTTCACTATATTTCCACCTCGAATTTTAACCTTTGATAATGGAGCCACAGCTTGGGCCCTCCAGCGGTCAAATGCTCTCTAAAATGTCCTTAAATATTGAGAAAAATGGTAAATTAGTAGTAGATGTGATGCAGTAAACAACTAGTGTGTATATATATATTGGGTCTCAACAAAGCCAGCAGACCTGCTATGCTGTAAGACGTAATTCAGTAGATCTTGTGATATTATATTATTTAACGATGTTAATTAATGTCTTTAATGTTGAATTCAGCAGACCTGATCGAGTTAAATAAACACTTTTAATGACTTAATTCAGCAGACCTGATGGTGTTAAGCAATAGACTTTTAAAGAATTAATTCAGCAGACCTGATAGAGCTAAATAATAATATATTAAAGACATAACGCAGCAAACATGATTGTGTTAAATAATGTTTTGGTTCTACCACTTAACTTGGCAGTTCTAATGATGTTAAATAATGGCTTCAAGATTAAATTCAGGATACTCGGTGATATTACGTAAATAATCTATATAATGTTTAATAAATATACTTAAATAAATTAATTCGTGCCTGTGTAGGCTTATAAAGGTGAGCTCAGCAAGAGACCTGGTTGTTGACTGTTGTGTTGGACTGACTCGGACTGCCTCCACCCCCACACTCACCACCGCTGCTGCCCTACAGTCCTTCACACAGCAAGTCTGTTTCCTTCATAAAAGTCTCGACTCTGCAAACTTCTTTACGGAAATGTCTGATATATAAGACGCCTTTCATTACAGCTTTTATTTCGTGTGAGCTCACACAAAACACACACACACACACACACACACACACACACACACACACACACACACACACACACCCACACACCCACACACCGACCCACACGCACACACACCCACACACCCACACACCCACACACATCCACACACACACACACAAGCATAAATTAAACAATAGAATACAATAAACTGCAATACACAGTTTAGGGCAAATGTTCGTAGTTTCAGCTTATCTTCACTCAACTGGTCTACGTTGTGTTAAGAATATACGTGTAGACGCTATTGTGAAGTAAGGTGACCCTTCCGCCTTAGGTGGGAGGAGGCTAGTCGTAGGTACGACACAGCTACAGCAACACTAACATGTTTAGTGAGAAATCGACGAGGAAAATATTATTAGTAAGAAAGATATCGTGAAGATGAGAGCCGAGACATGAAGAGCTACACAGAGCCTCAAAGTATAAACAAATAAGGATAATGCGAATCGTTCCTGTACGAGGTACAACCCACATAGTCTTTATAGAGCATACCTCCTTCACTCCAGAACACACACACACACACACACAATCCTATACCCTTCCTACACCCATGCCCTCTCTTACACCAGTTCCTACACCCATGCCCTCTCTTACACCAGTTCCTACACCCATGCCCTCTCTTATAACAGTACCCACAACTATGCCCTCTCTTACACCAGTACCCAAACCCATGCCCTCTCTTACACCAGTACCCACACCCATGCCCTCTATTACACCGGTCCCTACACCCATGCCCTCTCTTACACCAGTACCCACACCCATGCCCTCTCTTACACCAGTACCCTCACCCATGCCCTCTCTTACACCAGTACCCACACCCATGCCCTCTCTTACACCAGTACCCACACCCATGCCCTCTCTTACACCAGTACCCACACCCATGCCCTCTCTTACCAGTACCCACACCCATGCCCTCTCTTACACCAGTACCCTCACCCATGCCCTCTCTTACACCAGTACCCACACCCATGCCCTCTCTTACACCAGTACCCACACCCATGCCCTCTCTTACACCAGTACCCACACCCATGCCCTCTCTTACCAGTACCCACACCCATGCCCTCTCTTACACCAGTACCCACACCCATGCCCCCTCATACACAAGTACCCACACCCATATCTTTCCTCCTACCTGCACTTGCTCATCACACGACCCGTCACCATGCCCATAACTGAACCAATACCCAGCCATGCCCACACGTGTGCCCAGTGCCCTTGTCCACAGCCTCGCCTCGCCCCTCCACACAGTCTTGAGCGGTGACTACTTTTCACGTTACTCTCACGCTGAGGAAAGGAAAGATTGCAGTTTAAGTTTGTTCTTTTGGTCTGCAGCAGAGAGTGCATGCATCACCAGCGTGTCCCTCGCCCGGTGTGCATGCAACACCAGCGTGTCCCCCGCCCAGTGTGCATGCAACACTAGCATGTCCCCCGCCCAGTGTGCATGCAACACCAGCGTGTCCCCCGCCCAGTGTGCATGCAACACTAGCATGTCCCCCGCCCAGTGTGCATGCAACACTAGCATGTCCCCCGCCCAGTGTGATAGCACCCAAGTTGTGCGCTCTATTGTCCTGCATCATTCTGCATATTGATAATCATATCTGTATATAGCTGTATTTCTGCACGATGTGTATTTAGATGATAGTGAGTATAGCAGAAGGTGTAGTAACACCGGTGTATGCGGCAAGTGTAGTCAGCTGGTAGTATTATTGTGTTATACACCCCCCCCATCCCGCTATGTTCACGGTACCGTGCACTCTCCTGACCTACCGCTGCCTGGTGTACTCATGTACGTACCTCTGCTGTCCTGTACATACCTGCTGTGTGTGTGTGTGTGTGTGTGTGTGTGTGTGTGTGTGTGTGTGTGTGTGTGTGTGTGTGGTGGGTGTGTGTGTGGTGTGTGTGTGTGTGTGTGTGTGTGTGTGTGTGTGTGTGTGTGTGTGTGTGTGTGTGTGTGTGTGTGTGTGTGTGTGTGGATGACATTATTTTAATTTAATATCCCATTGTAGTGTTTTGGTTCGTGGGTGTTGTGTTGTGTTGCGTCAGTCTGCCTGGGTGTAGACTAGCCCGTAGCTGGTGTGTTGTGCAGGGAGTGTACTCGCTCTAGTGTCTTGTGTATTTACATGTGGGTGTACTGTGTTGCTTTATATGTCCTCACCTGCAAGTACTGAAGGTGAGTTTGTACTGCATTATTTTATTTGACCCTTTATCTACTCTGTTAATGTCCTGTCGTGATGCATTGTTTGCTTACTTTGGTTATATTGAGTTGATGTAACACGTAAGGAATTTAAAGAAAATCAAAACGTTTCCTTTAGTCATGCCCAATATATTTAGGAGACGGATGAAGAAAGGTTTTGCAGGACGCAAAGTTACGGACGAGACGTTTTCCTGAGAGGCAGGTTGGCGTCCCCTCTACTCTACTGCACCCTTGAGTCCTCGCATCCTCTCTCTCTCTTGCTCTCGGTCTGTCTGTCCATCTCTCTCTTTCTCTCCCTCTCTCTCTGTCCATGTCTCTCTCCTCTCTCTCGTTCTCTGTCTGTCCATCTCCCTTCCTCCTCCTCCCCTCTCGCTCTTTCATTCTGTCATCATTTGCTGCATCATATTTTATATATAATTTCTCTCCCCTGTTACTTTATTTTTTTGCACAGTACAGTTATTTGTTACTGTACATCTTCGCTGTGCCGGCCTTCGCCTCTCGCACCAGCGCCAGAGCGCTTGTCGCCAGTCTCTGCTTCTCGTGTGTTGTGTGCGGCCGTCGTCGCCAGCGGCACCAGGCTATGTCCTCGGGGGCCGCTCTCATTTGCACACTTTCCTCAATACCAATACTCACTCATAATAACAATAATAATGATAAGAGAGAGACTATATAAATAAATCGTCTGCGCCTACTGACCTCAAAAGCCTTGAGGTCATGCCAAACAATGTCATGCGACTTATATGTGGCGCGTTCCACTTCTATCCTCGGCCTTCAGGGGGAACTGGGCCTCACAAGCTTAGTCACCAGATGAGACATAATGTGTATCAACTATCTGTCACTCTGTACCACTGCTCACTCATCACACTCATGCAGATTAAAAAATTAATCCAATATTAGCCTTCCCATTCACACCCCTTCCTCACACGGACTACTAATAACTTCAATATAAATTTCACTTTACTCCAAAGCTGTGAAACCTAACTTATTATCCTCTC